GGTGTACTTGAGGGGTCTACTACCTAAATCCACCAAAATCAGAGCGGTCCATTCTGCCTGTTCACTGCCTTCAATTGCATTTTGTGAGTAAAATCAATACTTTGCCTCCCATCGTTCTGGAAGTTTTCTCTCAAAAAATGTATTTTTTCTATATCCCACATAATCAGTCATGCTGTGTTCATAATTTCCAAGTTTAGATCATCGTTTTACAAAAGAAACTTGCAAGAAGAAACGACAAGATAGAATTCTTGGAAGAGCATGTCCGGCACTGTCTTGAAGAGTTGCAGAAAAAGACGAAGTGAGTTGATTTTGTCTGAGCTGGGGGTTTTCATGCGCCTTTTATCTCAATATTTTCTAGGATAATCCAACATTATGCACTGCGTGAGGAAGCATCGTTGTTGCTACCGTCAGATGGATCACTTGAGCAGGTAAATCGAAAGTAATTTTTGAAAATTTTTTACATCATCTTTTGAAAGAATTATAGCTAATGAACTGTTGCGAAGTTGTACAGGTAAGCTAAACGTTGTAGCTGTGTTAGTGGAGTCAAATTTTGCGTTGTTTTCTCATGAATTTATTTATTTTGTTGACTGGAAAGTTGTGAGGCAATTGCATGCTTTTTTTGGTTAAGTCATATGGCATTGATGTGAGATGCGCTTAAAAACAGAAACTTGTTTTTTTTAGTAAAAGTAATTGGCTCAGGCCACTTCACAGTGCTAGTGAAGGATGTGCATGTATTCATAAATAGGAGAGCAGCATCTTAATTATTGTTGGTTTAGGTCCCACTATCGAGAAAAGGAACATCGTATTCTCTTATGGGTGCAATCTTTTCTGCAGGAAGCGATAAGAAGTCCTTACAGCTTGCTGCAGAAGTGAATTCAAGGTTGCAGGCTGTGCTGGAAGATGCCTTGATAAAGAATATAACATTGAAGGTGAGATGAGATTGAGACTGGAGCTATATTTAACGTTTTGTATTCAGGGTTCCGTTGACTCACTCAGCAACGAAGTTTCACGATTATCCCGAGAAAATCGCCAGCTCACATTAACACACAGTCGGTGCAATGAACAGCACATATAGATGATATTTATTATTATAACACTTAAACTTCGGTGAACTTCTATTCATTTGCTTGTTTCATGTAATATATGAACTATGCACTAGCCGAGAGCGGGTGCAAAGCGTGATCTCGGATGGTTTCATTGAATAAAACAAGGCTTTCTGTGATTTGTGTTTTTGATTTATATACATGGGACAACAGAATTAAGTTCTTGATAGAAAAGTATGCACTATCTGCTCTTGATTGGTTTTGTCTGTGATAAGGTTGTTTCCCATAGCTTCAGGTATTTGGATTAGCACCTCAAGAAATGAAAGCAAGCCTGTCATCTAAGGAAAAACATCTGACAATGAGAACACAAGGAAGAATTGCTTTTTTGAGCGATCTGTGGTGTGGTCCTCAGCCGTCAAGTGTCAATACCACGATGCTTTCTTCTTCAGATTTATTTCATCGAAACTCAAATACTTCTAAAAATTTATTATACAAAAATACGATGAAAATACATCCTGCAAAAATGGTTCAAAGCAACTT